TTTCATATGCGCAAATTACTATTAAATTTATTATAATTATGAAATCTTCATTTCCTCCATAGCTAACTATTTTTTTTTATTAAGCTAGTATACATTTGATTTCTAGCAAAAAGTGTGAAGAACCCATTTTTACATATAGTGTAAAAAAATTATTAAATTGGTTTAGTAACTCGTAAAATATTTATATCTTAGATTTTGTAACTATATAGAATTTTCTTAATGAATGAGGAAAAAAAACTTTCAAAGCTATATAAAAAACGCTAATTAAATTGATTATTAGCACTAACAAAAATCGTGCTTGTCCAAACTCAGTTCGAGCCTGTTTGAAACCCAAACCTGTTAAACTCGAGTTTTGTGATCATGTGATTTTAATTAGGAAATTTTAAAATTATGCGAAAAGTTTAAATATAAAAGTGCGATTTATTCTATAAAAATTACTCTACATCCTCCGGAATTTATCGGATTTTTTACCTAAAACTCACATCAACCATAATTCTGGACACCCTAATTCGGAGATATCACATGTTGGTCTCGTGATGATTCGAGACAAAAGTTGCTTCGATACTTACGTATCGAGCATCAACATATCAATTTTTTTAAATAGTATCCATAGTTTATAATTGAGTAAATTAAAATTCTTTCATATAATGATATTCATGAGATGATAATTTTGTTACAGTATATGCAGAAGCAGAGGTCTTTTTCGATTTTTAACAGCTGTCCTACCTTGTTTGGTGCGTCGAAAGTGCGTCGGGAGTACGTCGGGAGTACGTCAAGTATAACCTGGGTTTACATAAGGAGAGCATCTTCCTGCGTATCGAATACAAAGTAAATTTCCAATTATATTATATAATTGGAAACTTTACTTTGTATTTGCAATGTCCCGATGCACTTTCACAAGGTAGGGCAGCTGTTAAAAATCGAAAAGACCTCTACTTAAAAAGATAAGATGTATTGCGCGGTTACTTGGCAAAATTGCGCATTTTTCTTGGAAAGTTTTGGAAGTTTTTAGAAAGGAGTCGCAGCATAAGTTTTTTTTATAAAGAGAGTGGGTTTTGGCTTTGCTCGGTTCTTTGCCGTTTTAAAGGTCAAAAAAAACACCTATAAACTATACACTATCCTACGAAAAACAAAAGTGAGCTTGAGTAATATTTTTCCATAACTCTTTTGTCGGCTTATTTTTACTAAATTCTTTTATTTTGTTTTTATTAGAATAAAATGGGTAAAGATGACTTTGCTAAGACATTAACGGGATTAGGAATTACTGCAGCACTAGGAATTACCACCTTCTTCTGCCCTCCACTAGGAGCCGCCATGACATATTCAGCATTAGGAACTGGTGGGGTAGCCACGGCCGCTGGAATTATCACTGATACTGAAGAGTTGAGGGATGCTGGATTAATCGTTCTTAGTTCAGGAGCGGGAGCTTTAGGAGGAGGGTGCTGCAAACACTGCCCTAAAAAATAATAAAACTATATTATATGAAAGGTAAAGAATACATAAATAGTCTGTTTATTAGAAAAAGGCGTCAAGAAAAAAAATTAAAAGTCTATCGTTCTCTATTTCACAAATATAGACGGAAGCATATCTTTTCATTGTTTACTTTTATATCTTTTGTCTTTCTTTCTCTTTTTTTAAAAAAATTTACCGATATTTTTTAAGTTGTCATTTTTTTTCCCTTGGTTTTAGTCAATGGTGCTTTTTTTCTTATATACCACATAAATCTACGTCATATTTCATGCATACTGATTACTTACTTCGGTATACCATCACGTCACGTAATACCGACGGTTGCATAATTGATCATTATTTGATCTCCTAATTCGTCGCATGCACAAGATAACGATCGTTCGTTCATTTTACGTACCTTTATTTTCATACAAGTTTACCGCATACTGTATATCACCGTGACACTAACACTTAATATATAATTTTTATAATTTTATTACCGTACAGCGTGAACTAAAAGATCCTCCTAGTATAATACCCCTCACAACTTTTAGAGGCCTAAAACATATATTAAATCGATAGTTATAAAAATGACAGGTTTTCCCTTGGCGACACTTATATAGTGCAATCCATATCTCCTACGTTAACTATAGTATTTCTCTGACTATATATAAAAATAACTGTAAAGTACCCTGGATATTTTAGTCCACGCTGTACGGTTCTCATAAAACTCGTGGGTACGGAAAACAAAATTACTGACTAGCCTTCAATGTTTTCAGTTCTTATTTTAAGTGGCTTACCAACATCTGAAATTTTAAAAATTGAGTCAAATATGTTTGTTTTTCATATGATTTTTAATAAAAATTTTAATAGAAACTTCATAATATTTAAAGTGCATGAAAAATTAATAAATCGTGATTATGAATCAAAAAAAAAAAAAAAAGGGGGGAGATTTACAAATAAGGGCCTGAAAAGGGCCCAAATTAAAAATAATTACATATAAGGGCCTGATTTTTGAAAAATATTACATATAAGGGCCCAAATATATCAATAGTTGAAAAAACATGATCACGAGATTACCATGCCACAAAGGCACTAATAAGCACTATAGTTATAATTACTTTCGTTTAAATACTAAATAAAAGACAATGTTCAAATTAGCATAATTTTACATTAGGCTTTGAACGTTTCGAAAAAGTTTGACAATTTTGATCGTGATTAATTAGCCTTATGGTATGAATAAAACCATCTTTACGTTTATTAGCAGAAACAGTAAATGGGCATTCGCTGTCTTCGTTCGTGGGACAAACAACAAATAGTTGTTGGGTTTATTAGTCCTGAACTTGTAAGGCGAAATGTTTCAACAGAATAATTCTCTAGAGCTGAATGAACACTTTTCATATCGGTAAATGCCATTCCAAGTTTTAGTGTTATACTTGACAAGGTTTGTTATAACGATAAGCAATTTTATAAATAAATGAAATTTATTGTATTTACGAAGTCAAAGACACTTCTTATTT